GTAAAATATGTGCATATTATTTAATTTACTATACATTTGAAAGGAGTTTTAACACGTTTCTGATATCTAAAGGTTAGTTGAGGCTCCGAGTATAATTCGTGAAAATGATTTGATAATAGAATGTGTTCATGAGGAGAAAATTAGATTCAAACTGCGCATTCATAGTGGACGCAGTCCAGTAAACAAAGCTATTTCAACAATGCAACACAGCCTCCATTGATATTCTAAGTAACGCAGTCCAGCCGCGAACACGAAATAAATAAGATAGTGTAAACTATATTCCTACGCTATTATTGTTTCAGGAAAAGAAAAGTCAGCATCCAGATTATCATTCAAAGTTACGTTGATTAACATATATCTATTACCTGAATCAATGTCCCAAATTGCTATATTGTATCGTTTAAGACCTAGAAATATGGCAATTCAATAGCGTATTTGGCAGAACAGTCGAGCGCAAGATGACAACGTAATATGTTTATAACAAACCAATTTGTGGATAGGGTTAAATATATAGATAATTGGATAGTGGTGAGACTTTTTATAAGAAGTAGAAATGCGAAACAATTAACTTTTTGATGATGCAATAAAAGCTGTTGGAGAAGGGTACATTAACTAGTATTTAAGATATCAGGAAAATATCAAATAATTGGAAAGTTGGTGAGTTAATGTAATTTTGGATGATCTTTCCAACAGTCCATCAATATTGCTAGCGACCATAAATTCATGATTTCAGCTGTATTTGACAGCTTGTATATATTTGCAGAATGGATTGAGACACGATGTAGGTCTATTAAAATAGCCCTTTATATTCAATTTTGTCCAAAGTTGCTCCATTTCGGCCACACCTGTACTCACATTGTGCTATCTACCTTTGGCTGTGATTGCGTTCAGCTTCAGATATAAAGCAACACTGAGTCGCGGACTGCGTTGGGCAGATGGATGGACTGCGACTATTATAAATTCCAATTTTCTATGTAATTGTACGTTTTCCGCTTACCAAATATCACACGAAGATGTAATTGTAACAACAGAACATGAATAATTATATTAATTCGATGTCATTTCTGATTCCTTTGTTTAAATCGGTATATTAGGGACAAATATTGAAAAAATTACATTTTTTGTGGCAGATTTCGAATTCATTTGTGTTCATGCTAAACTATTGGACAGCCGAGCACCAAGAATGCCATTGCAGATGGAGTATGAATATGTTGATCACCGACTGGAACATACTAGCTATTCTGTAGAATATCCAAACCAATAATCTACCCCAAATCCTAACATGCCTTCCAAATTAAGTTTGGACTTACTGCCATTGTTCAGCTATAATGCGTTGTAACCTCGTTTTGAATTACGCGAGTCGCAGTCCGTGGCTTCACCCTCGTTTTGCTTATCCCCCGTGACATTGCAAAGTAGAAGTTTGAGAGAAAATAAGCTTTACTTATTGAAAACCTGTAATTGTCACACGTTTGTTTATATTTTTATCGGTCCATATTTGCATTACCATTCTTTCAAGTTCTAATAATTACATAACATAATGTCTATGTCAATGTTTATAACTATATTCTGGTTCAATTTAAGACAAAATTACAAATACTACCCTAGTTGATTACAAACACTACTACACATTTTAAAACATGAACTCAAATATCGTTTCACGGGTTATAATTTGCTAAATTGATTTAATTAATTTTGACCATTCGTTGGCCAAAATATCCATTAAAATGTTTTGACACTTACCAATTCAAACAGAATTTCATATTTATTGACAAATTAATGTTCATTCACCCTTGAACATTTTTAAACTGAGTTTACTCATTTATAAAGTAGAATTCTGAATAATTACAAATATATGCATCATGAATAATTTCATATACAAGAATTGCAAACTATTGACTTCTGGAGTTTAAGGTACTGTCTTACTCGTTTGTATTGCAGAGAGATTTTGCAACTTATTATTAACTTACTATTTCCGTACAACATATAACTTATGAAGCGTTTGATAACATCATAATTATTGCGCATCTCTATACTTCCCGCTATACTTCCATGCCATAAGTGTGATATTCTTACTTATAGACGACAATTTATAAGAATATCACACTAAAGGCAACCTCACATATGAACGAATCCACCAAACGCATTGTTGCAAATTGGATAAATGCAAACAAGTCGTCCGAACCTTTCCGAATGGATACTTACACATACGAACACCCCAACGATGCACAACGTACATATGGAACGAATTTTGTTTTACCCAATTCTTATTCGCAAGAAAGCGTTTAGTGGATTCGTTCATATATGAGGGTGGTGAATAGAGCTACGCAATAAATTATGACGTAATCGAACGCTTCATACTAAGTTTTATCCCATACTTGGACGTGTTACAGGTACATAAAGCCGGTTTGTAAAAACTTATATTTTCATCAGCGGGCAGATATAGCTTTACGTCCCGCTCCGAGCGGGCAGATATAGTATATCTGCCCGCTACTTCATAATCGCCGTTCGCATATTGGTTCATTTTTTGTAACGTTCGCGTTATAACTGTAAACGACAATGGAGAAAACGCAGACAATCGCGATCTGTTTGATGCTTTAGAAGGGAAGGAGCAGTATGTCCTGTTAATAATCCTACGGCCCTCGGGCAGATATATTATATTGGCCTCGGGATAATCCCAATATCCTGAACCTCATATATCTCTATATACGTTATACAGGAATACCGAATAAAATGCTTTAAGAGAGTTGCGAAACCTCTCTAATGATGAACAGATTTTTTAAACCTTCGATTGAGTTAATAGAATTACAAAATTATTGTTCCACAACAATTGATATAGCAAGTATCAAAGAAATACCTTAAGGCCCCCTCATAAATCAACGTATCCTCTAAACGCAGTCTTGCGAATAGTACTTGAGTAAAATTCGTTCCAATTAGTATATGTATGTTGTACATCGCTGGTGTGTTCGTATGTGTAAGTATCCCTTCGTATAGTTTCGGACGGCTTCGGAAGCATGCGCAAGGGTGCTCTTCGATTTGCATCTATCCAATTTGCAACAATGCGTTCGGTGGATTCGTTCATATGTGAGGTTGCCATTAGTGTGATATTTTTATAAATTGTCGTCTATACGTAAGAATATCACACTTATAGCATCTAATCGTCAGAATTGACAATTTTTCCAATTCACAAGCCTGCGTTAAGGGAATTCATTCATTCGGAGGGGGCCTTTAATCTGGTGGATAAACATTTTCAATCGTTAACAGACAACATCAATTATTCTCGTTGGCCAAAATATCCATTAAAATGTTTTGACACTTACCAATTCAAACAGAATTTCATATTTATTGACAAATTAATGTTCATTCACCCTTGAACATTTTTAAACTGAGTTTACTCATTTATAAAGTAGAATTCTGAATAATTACAAATATATGCATCATGAATAATTTCATATACAAGAATTGCAAACTATTGACTTCTGGAGTTTAAGGTACTGTCTTACTCGTTTGTATTGCAGAGAGATTTTGCAACTTATTATTAACCTACTATTTCCGTACAACATATAACTTATGAAGCGTTTGATAACATCATAATTATTGCGCATCTCTATACTTCCCGCTATACTTCCATGCCATAAGTGTGATATTCTTACTTATAGACGACAATTTATAAGAATATCACACTAAAGGCAACCTCACATATGAACGAATCCACCAAACGCATTGTTGCAAATTGGATAAATGCAAACAAGTCGTCCGAACCTTTCCGAATGGATACTTACACATACGAACACCCCAACGATGCACAACGTACATATGGAACGAATTTTGTTTTACCCAATTCTTATTCGCAAGAAAGCGTTTAGTGGATTCGTTCATATATGAGGGTGGTGAATAGAGCTACGCAATAAATTATGACGTAATCGAACGCTTCATACTAAGTTTTATCCCATACTTGGACGTGTTACAGGTACATAAAGCCGGTTTGTAAAAACTTATATTTTCATCAGCGGGCAGATATAGCTTTACGTCCCGCTCCGAGCGGGCAGATATAGTATATCTGCCCGCTACTTCATAATCGCCGTTCGCATATTGGTTCATTTTTTGTAACGTTCGCGTTATAACTGTAAACGACAATGGAGAAAACGCAGACAATCGCGATCTGTTTGATGCTTTAGAAGGGAAGGAGCAGTATGTCCTGTTAATAATCCTACGGCCCTCGGGCAGATATATTATATTGGCCTCGGGATAATCCCAATATCCTGAACCTCATATATCTCTATATACGTTATACAGGAATACCGAATAAAATGCTTTAAGAGAGTTGCGAAACCTCTCTAATGATGAACAGATTTTTTAAACCTTCGATTGAGTTAATAGAATTACAAAATTATTGTTCCACAACAATTGATATAGCAAGTATCAAAGAAATACCTTAAGGCCCCCTCATAAATCAACGTATCCTCTAAACGCAGTCTTGCGAATAGTACTTGAGTAAAATTCGTTCCAATTAGTATATGTATGTTGTACATCGCTGGTGTGTTCGTATGTGTAAGTATCCCTTCGTATAGTTTCGGACGGCTTCGGAAGCATGCGCAAGGGTGCTCTTCGATTTGCATCTATCCAATTTGCAACAATGCGTTCGGTGGATTCGTTCATATGTGAGGTTGCCATTAGTGTGATATTTTTATAAATTGTCGTCTATACGTAAGAATATCACACTTATAGCATCTAATCGTCAGAATTGACAATTTTTCCAATTCACAAGCCTGCGTTAAGGGAATTCATTCATTCGGAGGGGGCCTTTAATCTGGTGGATAAACATTTTCAATCGTTAACAGACAACATCAATTATTCTCAAAAAGACCAACATTTTCTGAGGATGTTCCAATTCTGTTAAACATGCATTATTGTTTAAAGAGTAGCAGTTACACAGATTGTTGACAAACAAATTTTAGTTTAAATATTTCTAATAGTTTTGTCTCTAACATAAACGTGTTATTATGATGGATCGATTGACTCTGACTGCAACTGAAGGTACATTATCTTGGTCACCCATGTTCAAACGTAAATATTTCTGACATAGGCTGTGGACAATAATAAGCAAAGTCAGGTTGTTGGTACCTAACCAAATTAACAGTATATCCACTGACAATAAGAAAATTACATTCTTTTTCAGTTCCATCAAGCGAATTTATAGACCTTGGTCTTCATGTGTGTATTACGCAAGCTAACGACGTGATTTACTACAACGTTTCAACCAATGACGAATGCAAAGAGCTATGTCTGAATGAAACCTCTATCGTTTGCTGGTCTGTGGAGTACGGAGAGGAAGGGGGTTCTCATTCGAAAATGTGTCAGTTATCAACCCAATATTCAGGGATAATCACACTTTCCAATCCATGTGGACCAGATGTAATTTACTCTGAGAGGATCCCTGGTAAGATTTTTTATTTTTTAATGTTATATAGATTTATTTATGTTTTTGTTCCACTGCTTGAGTCTCAACCGACGAGTGCTCTTCTGATCGATAACGAGGATTCCATGATTCGAAAAATACCAGATACAATAGAAGAGGTTTCGTAATTTGATATGAAATAAAAGATCGAAAACCCACTTAAAATACACCCTTGTTGAAATCCTAATTTTCAGCAGAACACATGTTGATTTAACCTCAACCATGCAAGAACTGTGTTAATGAGCATATCTAAAATCGATTCTAATTGGCTAGAATAGGGATTCTCAAACAGAACAAAACATTTCACCAGAGCCCTCATTATCCGGTCAGCGCTAAATTAGCGTTGCGATTTGCGTTGCGCTTGCGAATCAACATTATTCGCAAGCGCAAATCATGGTTTGCGTCGTATTACGCGCTTCACGCAATCGTAGACGCAACGCAGACGCAACAGTATGCTAATCGCAAATAAATTGGAAACGCGGGAAATTTAAACTTAGAGCTCAAAATATATTTATCGATTTTTTAATGTCTATGTATATGTTTACGCCAGTGCGGATGTGTCAATCCCATACTTGGACGTGTTATAGGTACATAAAGCTGGTTTGTAAAAACTTTTATTCCATACTTAGTAGTGTTAAAGGTATATAACATGCGGGAATATAACTGATATGTGACGTGAGCGGGAGATATATATATCTCCCGCTCAGCAGATCTACGACGTCATAAATTCAGGGAGTAGATACTGACCCAGGGGACTTTGCTATTATTCCTCACAATCTACTAAGTATAGAATAAATCAGTTATTAAATGCTCGATTTTTGATACAGGGTATATCCCTCGGTAAATACAATATATCAACCCTCGGTCCCTACGGTCCCTCGGGTTGATATATTGTATTTCCCTCAGATATACCCTGTATCAAAAACCTCCCATTAAATAACCTCTATATATTTTCATCAGCGGTCAGGTATAGCTACACGTCCCGCTCTGAGCGGGCAGATATAGTATACCTGCCCGCTGACGTCATAATCGCCGTTCGCATATTGGTTCATTTTTGTAACATGCGCATAATTACTGTAAACGTTAATGGAGAAAAGGCAGACAATCGCGATCTGTTTGAAGGAAGGAAATGAGCGTATCCCTGTTAAACAAGGATTTCAGAAATAAATGTGGATGAATATCTGAAAATCAGGCTATTCTAAATGAATTCTTACGGTTGGTTGGACATTTTCTGAACTCCGGCCAATTGAACAGCGTGAACAAAATGACCAAGATTGGTATGGGATAAACAGATCATCCTATAGTTCAATATCCTGAACCTCATATAGGATAATCTCTATTTATCCCATGATACTACTAATTCCCGATGAATAACCGGGAATATTTTTGATATTGAGAAAAAATCGTATTGAAATTTTTTGCCAAACAAAGCTTCCTCTTTTAATCAGTTGGGTCGATATAGCATGCTAAAATGATGTTCTTATGTGAAAAACGAATTCCAGTTTTATCATCATCGCTCTGACACAGACAAAAATGCTTACGTATTGCTGAATGTTTTGATGTTGATGTGTTTATGTTACACATGTACAATAATTTTTTTATATTAAAAAATATCATAAAGCTAAGTCATATTTTCTTGATTAAATATACCATTTTTTCATAGAAAAATCTAACTAATGATTTTATGAAGACAGTTATGAATATCATGGAATAAAAAGCTAATTTACTGGTCGGGATTAAATATGGGTTTATTCCTCATGACAATTTGATATTTCACATATTGTGAGGGACAATTTGGTATTTCCCTCTGACCCTCCGGGCTCTCGGTAAATATCATATTGTCCATCATAATAAAACCCATATTGAATCCCTCCCACTACATAACCTATATATATCTTGCGAAAATCTAGATCTGTCACTGGAAGGCAGCCCATCTTGAAAACAAGACACGGTGTCTTTGTAATTAGTCCGACTGATATAGCCTACCTAGAGAAAACCGCCGATACCTCAGCAACAATGTTCGAAACAGTAGGTTGGGATACCCCGAATATATTTCCATTTATCATTTGCATACAACCTGTAGCATAAAATCGTAATGAAATGAATACTTTTAGCTGACATGGAATTGCCTGAGGATTCCTTGTTCTTGACGCTAGACCCCCATCTAATATATTAATCAACTCAAGAATGAGTGGCCTCGGCATGCGATATCTGTTTAATATCTCATCGTCAGTCATCTCTAACGGCTGACTCCTGTCTCTGAATAAGCGTAAACCTCTTCTATTGTGAACATCCTGGAATAATATGCGCCACATTTTCCAGCTTGATCGAACCCTAATATTTTAATTTTAGCAGACGATATTTGCGAAATGGAATTGCGATATTTATTATAGATTTCACAAAACCAAGGTAGCATAATCGTGCACTTTCAGACTTGATTTTGATAAGTTTTGGTTATTTGTGTCTCTAATGTTTTTCAACCTATTTTTAGTTGGATGTCTCAAAGGGCACTTCCTAGATTTCTACAACGATAATCTTAATTTAAATAGGAAAACTATCAAGATGCTTGATGATATGTTTGCGATTTATATTGCGGCAGGGTCAGGGATGCCGCAAATAAAGTGGAGTTTGCGACATAAAAATCAACTGATTTACGTGGACGCAACTGTGCGATGACTGCATAATACCAATTTGCGTGCGGTTAGCAGTGTATTTGCGATGCGAAATGAAAATAGCGATGCGTCTACCGTGTAATAAGAAAACTGCGATTTGCGCTAAAGACGCAAAACGGCAATGAATTTGCGCTAGAGTGCCTTTGAGATGACCTCATAATATCGTGTTGCGTACGATTCGCTAAATATTTACGTTGCGATTGCGATTTGCGGTGCGTCGACCGGATAATGAGGCCTCTGGTCTTCAAAGCTTTTCGTTACCTCTTTGATGAGCAGTATGTCGAACCACTTTTTTCAATGTGGTGACATTTTTAAAATGCTTTGCAACACCAAAACAACTCATTTAAGTTGTTTAAACTTAGAACTTTTATTATTTTTAGTTGGCAATTATTCCATTCTTCCACTAACGATGGCTCAAAATCTACGAAAGAAACAAAATTCATATTAAATTCAATTCAGTTGACAACGATGCCATCTTTAAATGTGGTTTAGATTTCGAACAACCGTCCATTGTTTGATTTACATACTCCCTGACATCGTGTCACCCTTGGGTCATCATACTTTGTCAAAATTCTAGGTGGGTTATGGTGTATTGTACAAAGGTCAGAGGTCATTCAAGTTCAGATGTCAATGTCTATGTATTTTGGTATTTTAATACATAAAGAGGCTGTTGTAACCCTTAGCGCCCCATGATAAGGTGATATTTCACTTCAAAAAGTAATAGAAAATCTAGCATTTGTCGTACGCCTATTGATTTAGTGATCTATTGATTCTATAACAGAAATTGTACTTTCCCTTAGCCATTTTCCCCGATTTACATTTAATAATTCACATTTAATAAAATTATTAAATACCATTTTTGCATTCTACAATAATGTTCAGAAGTTAAGGGCCATATAAAAGTCATGGGTTTGATGTAGAATAGTTAACATAAGCTTGATATAAGTCTTCAATCCTAAACTCGATATATGATTCCAGTTCATAGACAGAGGGGAGTAACTGTTCACCTGCGCCACCAAGGACAACGACTTGAAAAACACATCTTGCATATGACATCGTATAGCTCACGTCTGGAATGTACACAATCTTGCAACATTTACTTATATTGTGTTGCTTTTGACTTCAACAAAAACATTGTCACCAACAATTGTCAGCTATTGACTCAAAAAAGTGATGTTTCAGCTCCAGGGGATTTGGTTGAGGATGCAAACTGGAATTATTATGAGGTAACGGGCCGTGTTTGGGAATAGGACGTTTGATATTATTTAATCAATGCAAAGATCCGTTTACTAGTACTCAACCCACATACTCTACTATACCAAACCCCTTGGAATGCATACAATATACTCTGTTTGTCCAATTGTATTTTTACAATATTTTTGAATCATGATTACTAATAAGCCGAATTAGGCGATCAGCCTGGGGGGTTGGTCGGTATCAAATTAGGGGAATTATCGCCATAGTGATTTTTGGGAAGGTTGAGACCTCTAGAGTAAGAAAATATGTGATAGCATTGTAACAGTGAATATTTAACTATTGTTTTAAGCTCAAAGAACAATTAAGAAGAATGATTTTGGAGACAATGTCTAGGTTTTAGGGGTCAAAGGTTTCATTTATGTCTAAATCTGAGTCATCAAAAATTGCTTTTCATAGAAATCCAAGATGGTCACTAAAATGGGTGCCAATAACAAGTAAATTTTGATTAACGCTCAAAGAACAGTTTATAACAGTAATTTGAGACCATGTCAAAATTGTTGGTGTTAAGAATTTCAGTCATGTCTAAAACTATAACTAATTCCTTTATTTGGATCCAAGATGGCTTCCAACATTGCTGCCGAAGTGAAAATAAAATTTTTTATCTAAACATATAGAGGAGTTAGAACATTAATATTTTAAGTTTGTGAGGTCAATGATTTTAATTTTGTCTTTAATAAAATCAACAAACATTTTATTTATATAGATATCCAAGATGCCCCCCAACACGGCTGCCAAAATGAATTCCTATTTCTATCCATTTAACCACATAGATCACCAAGAACAATAATTTTGGAAGTAATATTTACTTTAAGGAGGTCAAGAATTCCAGTTATCTAGAGCTAATCCATGAAACAATCTGTGATTAATATCAGAAATCAAGATGGATGCCAAAGTATTACCATTATAATAGTTCGAATAAGAACAAACAAGTACAGGGTGACCGGAAAAAAAGGAGACCATTGAAGTAATCAATTTCTCCTAAACTAGACAAGTGCCATCAATGAAATTTTGCATACACTGGAACAGTTATATGGAAATTTGTTACTGAAGGTTTCAATACAAGCATTCAACTGGTTCAGGAGCTATGATCATTTACATAACATGCTCCAAATAGGCACAATTGAGACCAACGCAGAGTTGGATTCATATGGCAAACTACCCTTACATGTTCTGCCCTCTATGGCATTATTATGGCATTACATATAGCAGTGATTGCCTTCTTTAGGTCAACAATAGTCTGAGGATTGTTTTGGTATAGATTGTCTTTCAAATATCCATACAAAAAGAAATCAGCAGGATTCAAGTCTAGGCTGTAATGGCAATGAAGGGTTATCTGACATGTGGTTCATCATCCTGTTGCCAAAGTGCTGATTTACCAAATCTTAAGAGTCACTTTAGGTATTGGGCATAGTGCCATGTTACTAAAACCACTATATGGCACAATTAAATCCCATATGAAAACCAAGGGCTGCCCAAAACCTCCTTAGGATGATACTGTAACTGAGTGGGACCACTGAGTCAGAAGCCATAGGTCAGATAAGCTTCGTCTCCATACACCTCAAATTTGAATCCACCTGATTTCTTTTTGTGGGGCAATTTGAAAGACAATGTGTACCAAAACAATCCTGAGACAATTGCTGACCTAAAGGTGGCAATAAATGCTAAATGTAATGCCATAACAAGGTCGGAATATGTAAGGGTATTTGCCAAATGTATCCAGCTCTGCGTTGGTCTCAATTGCGCCTATTTGGAGCATGTTATGTAAATGATCATAGCTCCTGAACCAGTTGACTGCTTGTATTGACACTTTCAGGAACAAATTTCCATAGAACTGTCCTGATGTATGCAAAATTTCATTGATGTCACTAGTCTATTTTAGGAGATATTGCCTATTTCAATGGTCTCCTTTTTTTCCGGTCACCCTGTACATGACAATTTGCGAAATAAAATCTTATGATCATCGCATTAGCAATATTACTGTAATTTGCCTTCCTTTCCCTTAGTTTTGTTGTGGCTCAGTATCATAAACATTGACTATAGAAAGAAGTAGATTATTGGATGGAGAAGATCAAGCATTCCTCAAAGACAAGTGTATCATACACCAGAAAGAGTTTGATGAAGATAAACATTTTAGTCAGTCCTCAAAATCGTGACTCTGCAGCCATTTTGGTAGCCATCTTGGATATCAAAATAAAGGAATTATTTTATGACTTAATTACAGACAAAATTGAAATTCTTGGCCTCTTAAACCTGGACATGGTCTCCAAAATCACTGTCCTTAACTATTCTTTGAGCTTAGATCAATAGATACATATTCATTTCAGCACCAATTTTGGTGGCCATCTTGGATTTCTATAAAAAATAATTATTTGATTACTTAGATTTAGACAGTCTCCAAAATTACTGTTCTTAACTGTTCTTTTAGCTTAAATCAATAGTTACATATTCATTTTGGTATCCATTTTGGTGGCCATCTTGGATTTCTATGAAAATTAATTGTTTGATGACTTAGATTTAGAAATAAATGAAATCCTGACCCTTAAAACCAAGACATGATCTCAAAAATCAGTTCTTTGAATCAATAGTTACATATTCATTTCAGCACCCATTTTGGTGGCCATCTTGGATTTCTATAAAAAGTAATTATTTGATTACTTAGATTTAGACATAAATGAAATCCTTGGCCCCTACAAAATTGTCAGAGTCTCCAAAATTACTGTTCTTAACTGTTCTTTTAGCTTAAATCAATAGTTACATATTCATTTTGGCATGCATTTTGGTGGCCATCTTGGATTTCTTTGAAATGTAATTGTTTGATGACTTATATTTAGAAATAAATGAAATCCTTGACCCTTAAAACCAAGACATGATCTCCTAAATCACTTTTCTGTGAGCTTAAATCAATGGTTACATATTCGTTTTGGCATCCATTCTGGTGGCCATCTTGTATTTCTATGAAAAGGTAATTATTTGATGACTCCGATTTAGACATAAATAAGATCCTTGACTAGAACTGTGACATGATCTCCAAAATCACTGTTCTTAACTGTTCTTCGAGCTTAAATCAATGGTTACTTACCGGTATTTGTTTTGGCACCCATTTTGGTGGCCATCTTGGATTTCTATAAGAAGTAATTGCTTGATGACTTAGATTTCGGCATAAATAAAATCCTTGACCCCTTAAACCGCAACATAGGCCCTAAAATCACAGTTTCTGCATCTCAGTATGCTTAGATATACCCAATCTTATATTGTAACATGTGCACCGGCGGCCATTTTGAAAAATGGGTGATAACACACATTTAGCTACAACTGTTGCAATGCTATCACATAGTTTCTTACTCTAGAGGTCTTAACCTTCCCAAAAATCACTATGGCGATTATTCCCCTGATTTGATACCGATAACCTAAATTTTGGGTCGAAGCTGATGGCCTGAATGGGTTTGTCATAAAAACCATATGCAAGGTACAGCAGAGTGATTAAGTTCATAATTAACTATAATCCACGAGAATACATGACGTAACCGTTATAGTTAGTGGAATAAATGCGAAGAAACAAGACAATTGGATTTAACAATTCATACAGATGCAGGGTGTTTCAAACTTCCCATCCAAAATACACTGCTAGTCCTACATCACTCGTCCTCATAATACTGAGTATCATCATACTGAGTCTCTCATACGCCGAAGCCGGCGGGACTGTTAATAATTGTATGATATGTTAGTATGTATATTGTTAACTACAGTGTGAGACTTTGATAAATATTTTACTAACTAACTAACATAATCTACCATAACATGTTTATTCAATTTTTAACTTTAAATAGGCCAACAATCGGCGTGCATGATCGTTTGGGATTTTAACCTTATTCAAAGTTATTGAATTATTTCCATACTGAACATGCATGGAAAATATGAGGATATTCTATCGAGGATTGGGAATACATGAGAGACAGTCATTACGAAACACTCTGAAGAAAAAGTACGTTTAAATTATAATCGATGATCAGGAAATATAGCACCTGCATAAAAAACAGACACACAAAACACACAAAAGTCTAACATGTCATTATGGCATCGTTAGCAAATTTTACAAATAGGAAAGAGCTCGGTCATGTGTTATGTGAGAAGTGAAAAGTGACAATTTTAAATTGCATGTCAAAAAATCCAGTACCATTGCTGCACAATGGGATCTTCAGAGCCTTTTTCACTGCTATCAGGTGATTTAATCTGTAAATCAGTTTCAGAAATTATTGTCTGTGTGTCATGTTTATTGATTTGTTTCATTTTATCTGTTTCCAAAATTTATTCTGTCCAAAATTTCAGTTTTGAGGGATAAACAATGCTTTTAAGTGATAAGCGATAAGGCTAATATTGAAAATAGTTTTAAGGTGAAAGGTTTGGGTGGAAGATCAATCGTGAAGGAATTCAGGCAAGAGTTAGATGTTACTGTAAATAGACTTATTAACAAAAATGCACTACATCCAACATGCATTAAAGGATGGGATAACTATGTCATTGGAGGTGATATCGATGGTAAAATACACAAAATCATTTCTGCTTCGAAAAAGCAGCTTCTTACAGACTGATATATCTGGCTTTTTCGTTGATATTGGATTTTTCTCAAATAATATGTAACCGATCTCTTCCATATTTGTACAACTTGCTAACGATACCCAAGGCTTTATAGACATTTGCAATAAGTTGAGTGATAATTTGCTGAGAAAACACTTGTTAAGAGGCGATTCATTTTTTAGGACACCCGATATATAGTAGAGGTATAAAATGAACACAAGATATGACATTTTGAAACTGTTCAAACGATATAAATACAACCAATAAACCAATAATTACCAGGAGGCAATTATGACTAGTTTCGATCACTATAGTAAAACTATAAGTTCGATGTATACGTAATTTTATGTAACTGTGCTATGTTGGAAAAATTATAAAAGTATAACCTTTATTTAGTTATCTTATTTATCATAAACTCTGTAGCATAGTCGTATAGAACTATTTAGGGTGTTAATATTATAGTACGGTAATGATAGCAAACGAAAATGTGAGCTCATTTTAAGGTTGATTACGTCAACAATGTTTCTTTGCATCATATATGTAAGAGTTAACTTTGACGATATAACAATTACTGAGAATCAATATCCAATTTCCTTCTTCTTAAGTGCTGAGTTTGTGAAATACCTAATATATACAAGTATCACAACGGAATAGCCTGACAACGGTAAATTTAAGTCAGATACCGTTGTCACAAGTGGCGGACATAACCGTCGCTTTAATTAGATTTCCATGCACTGTATGTTTAATAGAATATAGTTAAATATGTTCTACCATCGAAATAAAGGCTTTAATTTTATCGATCGGAATATGACACAGGACAACGGATACTGTATAGATGACAACGGTAGGTGTGGGTCAAATGTGATGTAAAATCGAGGTGACAGCGGTAATAATTGACAACGGTATATGTAAAGACAACGGTAAAGTGTCTATTTACTGTTCTCGTTTTCATATGTTCCAGTGCAATACATCCACCATAGTCTGTTGTCACATCTTACCATCTGCCGTTGTATTTGTAAATAATTTCAAATTCAGATTCCGTTAATCAAAGTTGTTTCATTATATCCAATTGAACATGCTTCCATAGTAGCGGAGACAGAAAGTCATACACCTTTTTTCCTGATTACCTTTTCAATTCTCAGTACTATTTCATGACATTTTTACTTTATCAACTTACATACTTAACATACAAAATCTTTTGTTTAAGTAATAATTAATTAAGGAATAAAGACCGATATTTTATGATTTATGGCGTAATATATGACCGAATTTTATTCTATTCATTGTTAAAAGACCGAAATCGTGTAGCGATCGAGGTCTTTGGTTATGGCCATAATCAAATTTGAGGTCATACATTTGAAACAAATCATAAAATCGAGGTCTTTGTTACGATTCTTGTGTGATAAACAGACTAGAAACACAACTATTTGCATTTATGAATTTTAGCGGTCATACATACTCCGATATAGACCAGTAAATCAATTGTTCTAGCTAATGTGACGTCACATATCATATTAGAATTTTCATTATAACTACAACTTTTTGAAAATGATGGCCAACTTCTATGAAAGGGCCGTTTTGTTGGAAATTGAGGACAATTCTAGTTGTTATTGATTTTGAGTGCTAGCTCACGTACTGGTTTATGTACATGGTTTTGTCTTATTTATTTCATCTATTTTACATAATTTATGAGTTAAAATGGAATAATAAAATAGTAAAATATTTACTATAATCAACAAAAGATGTGTTGTGCAATCTGATATCTTTCTGCTCCATACCCCTGACCCTAAAATATTTAAATTTCTTGTCATAATCTCTTTGTGTAGCTGATGAAATGTATCTCTTGAACATAAAGTACATATATAATGAATGTCATAGTTCATGTAGGTCAGAATTCAAGAAGCAATACCTAAAATAAGCGTGTATCGATCATTACAAATGTGACATACTGTATACAATTCAAGTTATTTGATGTGATGTTAAAATTGGTGACGTGTCCAAGTAAAACATTGGACATATATACTTTAGAAACAGCAGCATGACAATGGATATTGTTTTAAAGCATCCGAGGTAGAAATAGGCCTAAATTATCGAGTCTAACTTCAATTTGCATTTTAAATAAGCTCAATGCACAGACTGTGTTATAAAATGAGATAACAAATGAAACGTCAAATGGAAAAAATATGATTTTGATTAGAATTAAGAAATCTTTCGGTATTCATAACCGAATGCCATCATTTTTGAAAAGCTGTAATTATAAAGAACACTAATGATGGGTTAAACAAAGTATTATGAATGTTAGGAATGCTTTTATGTTTATCCAATGAAGTTTTCATGAAAAATTATTGAGAATTTAAAAGTTATCGGGAAAAAAGACCGGCCACACTATGATATATGTATATATGTACCGGCCTCTATGATATGTTGAATATTGGGATAAGCAATTGCACACCGGAATAGCCTTATGTACAACGGTAAAGTCAGATACCGTTGTCAAAGATGGCGGACATAACCGTCGCTTCAATTAGATTTTCATGAACTGTATGTTTAAAAGAGCAGCTACACTAAATTCCTTTGGAACAACAATCAGTCAAAGTGTCTTAATACTCATTGTACAATGTTCAACCATCGAAATAAAGTCTTCAATTTAACCGATCAAAATGAGGTTCGGGACAACGGACACTGTCATTTCCATATGCCGACTCAAATTCAGATTCCGTTGTCATTGACGATATCGAAGACGCTATATTGAGGTGATTCACGACCCAATTTGATCGAAATTAGGATTTCAAATGAAACATCATCACGAGTGCTTAATACATGCACAGAATTAGCGACGATAAAACCCCATGAAATGAGGACCAAGTGATTAAACAGTTGAAGCGACGGTTATGTCCGCCATTTGTGACAACGGTATCTGAATTTACCGTTGTCAGGCTATTCCGGTGTGAATTGAGGATTGTGAATGCAAGTGGGGCGGTAATTACAAACCACTCTATGAAAAAGTAAGTAAGAAATAGAATCAGTCACCAGGAAATATATAATATTGATTCACAAGGTTTCGACTGTTCCTACCTCACCTTGATAAATCTGCCCGATTTAACCTACCATGCACTGTGTGAATAACCCAGGTGAGTTCACTCTCAATATTGATTCTCCTGGCAGTTGCCCGCAGAGTTTTGTGAGACGCCACAAAACCAATAGGCCAATCAACGATGTGATATCTATTCAGTCCATATAAGAGGAGGGAAAGCCCCAGAGTTTAAAGATGACAGACATAATTACGTCTCTTGCTTACCACCTTCGTTCGTTTGAATTTTCATCGGCTATTTATCAAATACTACACTTCGATGGGATGTTTTAATTGATATAGGCATATTCCATACACCTTTCTTTATCTTGATGTGAAATGAGAAGCCATGATATTGGTTAACACGCATAATAATATTCGAAGCGTATTTCAAAAATTTTGAAACCGCTATTGATGACGTCATTTGTTTGTCGACTTTTGACCAATCAGCGACGATGTCATCTCAATACAGATTTACATTATAAGCGTATGTCATCTTTGAACCCTGGTGTTTCTCCCCCTCTGAGTCCATATAGACATTTTCAGTATTTTGTCACGTGACGATGCAGAGTGTTCTGATTGGGGGTCCATGGACTTTAAACCGGGCCATGAACCGCCACTTTCGAACGAGAGAAACAAATTGACCTTTTATGCCACGGGGTCTTGTAATAATATTATCTTATCAAATCATTCATGTAAATATGTCTCACCTGACCACCCTTAATACTCAGGTGACCCATACACATTATAAACCAGTATCTAACCAGCTATACACCAATAGAGTAGTACTCAGAAAACCTATGAATCTTCTGTTACTCTATATCATCACCACTAGGATTTAATTACCACATATTAACGGTTTACGGAATATTAAAGGTCTCTAGACCCAGTGGAAAGCGACGATGGAAATATATCACCTGCATGAAAAAGAAAAGATTGCACCATCGTACAATAAAGCTTAACACAATTGCATATGCTAGAATTATCAAATGAACGCAAGAGGTGACATAATTGGATACAGTTCAAACGATAAATACAACCTATTAACCAATATTTAACAATAGTTACCAGGAGGAATTATGGCTAGTTTCGATCACTATTGTAAAAATATAAATTCGATGCATAAGTAATTTTATGTAACTGTGCTATGTTGGAAAAATTTATAAAAGTAAAACCTTTAAACAGTTATCTTATTTATCATAAACTTTGAAGCATAGTCGTGCAGAACTGTTAAGGGTGTTAATATTATGATTACGCTGAGCATATCAAACGAAAATGTGAGCTCATTTTAGGTTTGACAACGTCAAAATCTTTTTCTTTGAATCATATATATATAAAGGTTATCTTTGAAGAAATAACAATAAGTGAGAATCAATATGGAATTTCTGTCTACTAATATGGATATAGAAGTGCTGAGTTTGTGATGTACCTTACAATATATATATATACAACTATAACGCATCAACAAAGAGGAAATGCAACATGAATAATTTGTTATTACCGTCGGTATTAACTTATATCTTGATTATGGTAAGTGAAATAATTATAGTTTAAGTTTTGATACACAATTAAACAATCAGTTAATCGTCATTTAATAAAGAGATGATAAAAATATTGAAATGGTCACTTTTCATATATCTTTTGAATTTGAAACCAAATCTGAATTATACAATTACAATTTTTGCACGTCATTATGAGTTTTAATTGCATTCATACCAAACTACAGAATTATACAATTGCGATTTTTGCACGTCATAATAAGTTTAAATTGCATCCATATCAAACTACAGAATTATACAATTGCGATTTTTGCACGTCATAATGAGTATTAATTGCATACATACCCAACTACAGAATTATACAATTGCAATTTTTGCACGTCATAATGAGTTTTCATTGCATCAATGCCAAACAACAGAATTATACAATGCAATTTTTGCACGTCACAATGAGTTTCAATTGCATCCATACCAAACTACAGAATTATACAATTACAGTTTTTGCACGTCATTATGAGTTCTAATTACATCCATAGGAAACTACAGAATTATACAATTGCGGTTTTAGCACGTCATAATGAGTTTAATTTGCATCCTTACAAAACTACAGAATTATACAATTGGATTTTTTGCACGTCATAATGAGTTTTAATTGCATCCATACCAAACTACAGAATTATACAATTGCAATTTTTGCATGTCATCATGAGTTTTGACTGCATCCATAGGAAACTAATAGTAAACTAAAACTAAATAGGAAACTACAGAGATTCATTTGTTGAAGCAAATGTAAATTTCCAATAACTTGTTCGGGTCTGATCTTATTATTCCATTATATACATAATGTGATATGTCATGCGTTAATATACATGACAATTTATTGTATTTTGTAATACCATAGTATTTTAATGTTATATATTATATTTGTAGATTTGCGAGTTGGTAGAAGTAGGATCTGGTAAGTTTTTGTAATTTTTCAATCGAACGAAATTCTGACAGATATAGGGAACGGCTCCGTCCGTCCATGCGTCCGTCTGGGCGATGGCTCAAATAATTTGGCCCGACTTTGTTTTGTTGTTATTTTGTACACATATGCCCTATTGGGGTAGAATTTCTGCCCGAAAGTCGATTTTAAAAAATGGCCTCTCGTTTAAAAAATAAATGGCCATTTTAGTGCCGATTTTACAGTAATTTTAGTACAATATATGAACCTGGTCATAGGAAAACCGGTCTTATCACAAAAATTAAAATTGTGCTACAGAGCCAAAGATGTTGCCAAGATTAAAAGGAAAATTTGCTAAATTCAATCCGACTTTTTATTCTATTACATATGCAAGGAAAAATTATTAAGACATAAACCATCACTCATATGAAAGCTTTTAGCAAAAAAAAATATTGAAACAATCTGCGATAAGACCATTTCCTGTGGTCTGGCTCATACAACACTGTAATAGCAAATGTTTTAAATGTAAAAAAGTTATATAGAACGACTAAAAATGTCGATATTTAAGAAATAAATGGCAACAATCTTGAAAATCTGAAAACTAGGCCAGAAGCAGGCAATTTTGAAAATAGCCACCATTTGTACATGTGTTATTTTACGTATTTACTATTACTCAATTTAAAGTAATAGAGAGATTTTATTTATATTTTTGATACAACTAAAAATGGCAGATATGGCTGTTCGATGGAATTTACTGCGTTAGCGTTGCAGCTATCTAGTTAATATTCGTAATATTAATCAAGCACTCTAAAGGAATGTAACAGTATCCTATATGTTGGTTCAATTGTCATATTTCAAACTCTAAAAAGAATTCGTGGTAAAATACATTTTTATTTTTAAACTGTAATTTACACAATTTACATGTCTTCCTTTCTGGCAATTGATCAGAAAATTAATATTCCGAAATCAAATTTGAAGGCATCGTTTTATGACACAGTGAGACCATAAATATAAACAACACGATCTATACTATTTTTATATGTTTATCTTAGCTCCATCGAATTACTGGACGAATATTGATGGATGCCTATCTGGATACAATGACGTAATTTACGACAACATTAATTCCCTAGAAGAATGCAAACAGCTATGTATGGAGGAAACCTCTATCGTATGCTGGTCAGTGGAGTATGGACCGGAAGGGGGCTCTCATTCAAAAAAGTGTCAGCTCTCCATTGAGTATTCCGCGACTGTCACAGTTACAAAACCATGTGGTAGTTATGTATTATACTCAGAAAGGATAACACTAGGTAAACACATATAAAATGTATTTTCTCTTGTATTTTGTACTTATATTAATTGATAATACCTACTACACATACTAATCTTAAATGTTTTGCTTCGTCTTAAACGGTATTTATTTATTTAAGCAGATTTCCTTTGCTATCAGGTCCCGAATATCGCGAGCAAGTTCCCGCTGACATCGCGAGCAATGAGCTCATGTAAGAACGTGGTCTTGACAGATATGATAAAATAAAGTTATAGTTGATTATAGTTTTAGTGAACTTGTTAAATATGCAACATTGAAGTAGAAAGTAATAAACACTTATTTGTCAATTGCACGAATGCAAAGGAATATATAAATACTCAAATTGTAAAGTTTTCTGAACAAGAACTTTTATTTTATAAGACTTTGAGAGCAAATGTCATAGAAACCAGCTAGTGTTTAAACACAAGAAATTTGGAAATAAGAAATAGTAAAGTCTATACAATAACCAATAAGTTCTGTATACCTGTATAAGTACCATTGAAACCATTGTATATTATGTAAAGATTGAAGAACGTTGTTTCCCTGCTATTGAAATACCAATTGTAGTATGAAATACAATGTACTGAGTTTCTCTTACTAAAGTTCCAAAGAAAATTTACTGGGTATTTCAATTTAATCATATTTCAAGGCCCCGCTTCTAACATGAGCTTAGTTGCTGAATACCATCTATTCAGGGTGTCCCGAAAGTATGCCCCTCTAGGCAGACATACACCAATGTTCTCTTAGGATGTGTCATATATCATTTTAACGCTTATCCAAAGTTACATTGATTTGCCAAGTATCATTGTTCAATTTATAAATGGGAAAAAGTTACAGGCATTTCAAAACTTAGTGTTTGGCCAAAATCAAAGTTAAAATCAGTATCCTCGAAACACTGCTAACCTGAATGTGACCAAAAATATGGGTACTATCGTCAAAGAGAGGATGGATATTAAGTTGTAAAAGAGGTCAGCAAAGGCAGATACTCACAGGAAACTCCTCTAAAATGCCTTAAAAAGGTTTTATGAGGATTACAGAATGCCATACCCCTATTTAAAGTGCATTTAAGGTCATATCTGGAAAGAATTGCTGCTGTTAACGTGGTCAAGGGAGACACACCGACTATTAATTTTGTGTAAAACTAAACTTTAGTTTTGGTAAAACACTACATTTTTAAATGCGTGTAAGTTTTCCCATTTGTGAGTTGAACCATGATACTTGGCAAATCAATGTAATTTTGGACAAGCTTTAAGATAATATATGACACATAGTATGGGGACATGGTGTATGTCTGTGTAGATATTTCCAACTAAGCTTTAACAAAGGAAGTGAGTTTTGAAGGGGTAATCTTTGGAGCCATATGGAATGGTATTTGTCTTGTATTGTATGGTATTGTATTGATTTGTTTCCTTCATTATGAAGATTTACAACATTAATTAACAGTGATTTATGCCTAGGTCACATAGCCGCCGGGCGCCGGCCGATGAGTAGTCATCGGCCGATGTCTAAATCGACCGGGCGCCGGTGACTTTTCACCGATGTCTTGATCTAATCGTGAGTATGGTCACATTAGTACAGGCATCGTACGGCGCCCGCAATCAATTGAATCTGAAAGACATCGCACGGGTATCGCAAGGCTATCTGCCGATGGCCGTACGGCACCCGCCAGGACATCGGTCGATCTACAGGCCTCTAGATTTGAAAACGAAATACTTCGATAGACAGGACTTCCAGGATAATAATGTTTTCATGCAATAAAGATTAGAAAATGATTGTTTGATTGATATTTTTACTATCATGGGTACTTCCATTGAAAGAAAACATATTGTTTTAATAAAACACTGCCCAGAAAGTACTCATGGTGAAAGATATGACCGTCTAAAATCAATTGCCATACTGCACGTGGTCTTTTCAGCAAAGTGCACTCTGCCTTAATTCATTTTAAGATCTTTCATATAAACAAATACTATGTCTACCTGTCCATCCGATCCTATTGGCAAAATTCCCTATTTCTGCATCTTTCTTTTGTCTGTTCTCGTAAAGAGAATTTGTTTGGTCATAAAAATATATCTTCAATGAAATTGGCAATTATTTCTTCTATTTCAAATGGAGTACCCTCTTCCCTCGTCACATCTAAATCTTAATCATCCACCAGCTCACTAGCATTTTTCCACCTGTCTTCCCAAGGCCTTCCTCATATATGGCCCATTGGCCTTATCCCCATTATTCTCAGTCTTTGGCATATTAACTGTAATTGAGACAGTGAACTTTCGTATTCCATGAACTGCTTATTTATGCCAAACTGATTAATCAGACTGAATTTATATCATTGGTTATTAATGTATAAATTTTTACCAGAGAGATTTTTTGTCTCTGTCTTTATGAATGTTGACCCAAGCTGCCCATTGGGGGTAGTAATGGGTGACACTCAGATATAATGTATACTGTGTCTCATAAGTCGGCACCGGCTGGTGATGTTACAAATGTTGTTTTTATTATGTATTTTATATGTATATTGTAATATCAGTGACACAAAAATAAACTATTTTAAACTAAACTAAAACTAAAACGTATTAAAATTGTGACCCTTGAAAATACTGTACTCACAAAAACATTCAGAAGATTTTCAAAATAAATGATTTGTAATGGTATATGCATGAGTGAATATACGCATAAAAATGTATCACTCTATTCAATGTGTATGACAGACATACACGATTAATGTCAATATAAGAACGACTAGATCAACCCACCCACCCAGACATTCAAATGTGTGTCATTGTTTTACAGTAAGCCTAATCGTTTCATTTATGTTTTATAAAAAATCTCTGACAGTGTGTAGTAATTATAATTTCTTACCTCATTATTTTTAAAACCGTTATATCACTTTATAAATAATAATTATTAAGATTTATATAACAAATCAACACGCGAAATCCCAAGATGACCGTGCGATGCCACCAGGCGCCGTAAGATAATCGTACGATGACCGGACGGGACACGGCCGGGTAGGTACCGATGAGTTTGGTTGAGAAAAAATCGCCAAGACATCGGCAACTTTTATCTCCGCGATAAAACTTTGCCGGCGCCCGTACGATGTCTAAAAATCGGCCGATGAGTGGCGATCATCGCCCGGCGCCCGTACGATGCCCGGGCTCGACGGCCGATTTCGAACAAAATACTCATCGGCCGGGCGCCGTAGTGAAAATCGGAGCCTATGTGACCAAGACATTACATTATATCAAAATAAGATTATAATAAGAAAACTATTTATAGTATAATAGTATGTACAGATGTGTGACTTTCTTTTAAAAACACAGGTAGATGATTTATACAACCAGTGCAGTATTATTCTAAATAAGTGTTGGTGAATCTGTACATCATCATATTGATGTATGTTGCACATATGTTAAGCAATTTTACTGATGTGGCATCATCAATTGTATGCAAAATATCGGAGCGTCCTCCAAGGAGAAATTCTAAGATTATATCATCTTCACTGTTTAGGAGTTCACATGACTGATGCACAGAGATGATATTTATAATCTTTTCATACATTTCATTTCTTAATGCAATTAAAAATTGACATTCTACTATCATGTGTTTGACAGTATCATTGGTGGTTCTACCGCACCTCAGACATTGAGTATTGAAATCGTCATCTGGAAGTTCCCTTGAAGCCAAATGTAGAAGAATTGCAAATGCCCATGTTTTAAGAGGATATTTCCTGCCAGCTTCCCAATGTATTGCTGGCTCAAGTTCAGTCTGAATTTGCGCAAATCTGTTTAATTTTGTATTATTGGAGAGCAAGCGTTGCCAGTTTTCAGTATCGTTAATTTTGATTTGAGCATTCACATAGCTTTTCCATTTGGCCTTCGAGGGGAATGTAAACGATTGAAGATAGCCGGAGAATATTTCATAAAGTACTTCATACTTTGTGTCATATATGTTTAATAGCCAAGAACTTATTCTGATCAGTAAAATCTTTTTTTATGATGGAATTGGGATTTGACGTACATAATCTGTGAAGAAAGGATACTTTGGCTTTGTTAATCTGAGCTTTCATTGTCCATAGACCTAGGGTACTTAGTAATATTGCTGATGAAGTCCTTTTGTATTATATCATTAAGTAAAGAGGGGCTTGAGGATGCTTCCATTAAACTAAATTAAATGTAGGCTTGCTTGTTGAATGTATGATTCCACATTATATGTATCACGTTACGCTTGATACTTTTTTTGATTATTTGATTATTGACCTTATTTAGAAGGTATAGACTGAATTTTTCCAATTTTTCTCTTATGTAGCCAGACTGGTTGGGTAAAACGAGCGCGTGTCTAAATATTGCGATGATCGGACAGACATTTTAAGAATCACTAAATGGTTATCAAAATATCTCGTCATCTATGACGACGCTGAATAAAATATTTTCATGATAGATTTTGGATGATAAGGTGGAAATAGCTGACATTTTGTTCAATTATAAGACCTTAACAAACTTCACTTTAACACCAAGCTCTTTTAAGTTAGAGATTACTTATCACCGAAGGGCAGATGAATAAGTAATCTTAATGTTGAATTGGTATATTTCATAATTAGATTCTGTAATCAATTCTGTAATCTCATTTCTTATAATTTTCAGTTAGACGGAAGGAAGCGAGTGCTTACCTGCGCCGTGAAGGACAAAAGCTTGGAAACCACATTTTGGATATAAGATCGTGTAGCTCACGTCTCAAATGTACAAAATTTTGCAGCACTTACTTCGACTGTGCTGCTTACAACTTCAACCAAAACAATGTCGTCGACAATTGTGAATTATTAACTCAAAAGATGGACGTCTCGGCCCAAAGCGACATGGTTGAGGATGAAAAGTGGAACTATTATGAGATAACGAACCGTATATGGCAATAGGAAGCACTACACACAGTCAAAAATTGTTGCTTACCTCATATTTTTGTATTTCCATTGTCTTAATGACGAACTCAATTGTTAAACGTTATCCGTTTTTAGTATTTAGTTTATTTGTTGTCTTATTCATGAACCCTGTCTTTAAATAATGCAAAACGGTTCCAATGTTTTCAACGTATTTATTAAACTAAAAACGCTGGGTTTTTACATGAACATGAAAACTTTTATAAACTGTTATGATACTTGCAGACAAGAACCATAACATACCTTTATATTCATGTAAAATAAAATTTTGAAGCTTTAAATAAAAGTTCACGCCAGTGAACATTAGCACCGACAGATATGATTTATCTTTTGTTTCATTCTATTATACGGGTGGTATGAAGCCACTGCCTTAGCGTGACATTGCCAACTAGTGTATAGAATTGTTAAATGAACATGAAAGTTTTGTCCAATGCACATTTATACAGTATAGTTTACCCACAAAAATCATACTTAATATTTCTGCATCGTTGTCTTGAAAAAGGTTATGCAATTTTTAATAATAGTCAAAGAGATATCAAATGTACATAAAAGGTGAACCTTTGATAGACTATACTATAAAGGACCATATGCATATTCCATTTGGATCTCCCCATGAGAAAAAATAATTCATCTGATTTTTCAAAATGAGTATTCTGCTTTAATTATTACATTTATATGCACACTTGTATCTTGTTGACCTATATTCAACACTGTATTGATGTATAGGCCACTTATTTGGGTCATAATTCAATCATGAAGTGTAGAGGCATAGATTCCAAAACCAGGAAGTATATTTGTGTCTGACAAAATCCATTTGCATCCTACGCATCCCTACATTTTATCCAAATATGTTACTACATAATGAAATATAATAGTTTATTATATACCCAATATGTAACACTAATCCTGATTGGTCAACACCTAGTCACGTGTTCCGATATAGATTTACTATTTCCCTTCGAAAGTGTATATTCCCTCAAATGTAAGAAGCGGGAATATCCATTTGAACTATTGCCCGCTGACGTCACAATTGCAATGTCTATTTCCCCTGGAGACGTTTGCGCATCTTTCTGCGCATTCAAAAAAGTAAAAATGGACGAAACGCAGACGGAAAGATTCACACACACAAATGCGGAGGATTTAGATAACCTGTTGTCATCAGTTGATTCTGAAAGTACAAAAAATGTAGTTAAGGGATCAGTGAACCTGTTGGATCAGTATTGCAGAGAGAAAAACGTTGACATCGGCGATATCATACAAGATACTGAGGAATTATCAAATTTCTTGGCCCTCTTCTGGCCATCAATAAGAAAACAGGACAAAACTAAATTTAGCAAGAAAAGTATGCAAACAATCAGATATGGTTTGAGAAAACACATAAAGAAGGTAGTTGACATTGACATTGTATCGGACCCTACTTTTCACAAATGCTCCAAAGTATTTGAAGCATGTATCAAACAGCTAAAGCAGGAAGGCAAAGCAGACGTGAAGCATAAGGAGCCTATCACAGGAAATGACCTGAGGAAACTGTATGGATGTTTAGACATTTCTACACCTAAGGGTTTGCTTGATAAAGTTTTCTTGGATTTGATGATGCATATGTGTAACAGAGGCAAAGAAAATCTAAGGGACCTTACAACGAATGACTTCAATTTGTGCCAGGACAGTGTTGGCTTAAAATACATCACTTTCAATGGTAATCGCCTAACTAAAAACAGCAGGGGAGAAACTGATGAAGAAAAGGGAGCACGAATGTATGAAATCAAATGTAACACCCTTGGTATACGCAGCTAACGAAAATTGACCGGTACGGGTCAAAAGCTGGACCGGTACGGGTTAACGGTTTTATTTGAATTTAAAACAGCCATAACTTGCTCAATATTGACTTCCTCGTGTCTAATTTGAAATATATGATGCCTCCCGATGCTTTTAAGTACACCAATTTTTTACAGATTTTTAAACGGACCAAAACTCTCTAAATGCGCATTTATGCTCTTTTCTCTTGAGAACGACGGTCTCATTTTCACGATAACTTTTATTTAGTACTTCTAACATATAAGATCTATTTTCCCCATCAAGGTATGATGTAAATGGGCAACTGGACAACTCGGACCCAGGACAACTCGGACCCTGGACAACTCGGACCCAAGACATCTCGGACCCAAGACAACTCGGACCACTTTTTGAAATTATGATTTTTATCATTATGTGTGGTTTTATTATTTCATTTATGAAAATTAATACATATATTATATATTGTGACTTCATATTTTGAATTAATTTGATGAAAATGTTTTAATTTGACTTATTTGATGAAATTTATGAAGTAAGACCAGTAAGAGAATCTTGAAGCTGAAGACCCAAGACAACTCGGGCCACTTTTTGAAATTATAGTTGATTTAATTTAAAACAATTTCATCGAATTAACATAATATATGAATTCACAATATGTAATATATGTCATAAAAAACATTAAACAAAAAATTAGAACCTCATACACTGATAAAAACCATCATTTCAAAAAGTGGTCCAAGTTGTCTTGGGTCTTTAGCTTCAATAATTTCTAACTTCTTAAAGAGAGAATCAGATATAGCGAACGGACTAAACAAAAAATTGTTCCAATTTTAGAATATTTTTGGCTCATGTCATTCCTTGTCATGTCTATTTTCTGAAAATCACAAAAGTGCATACCTTATTCAAGGAAAACCAAAGATTTTTACAATAATGTATTAATTTTCTATAAGAATGGTTACCATTCTTATTATTTGAGAGAATCTAAACATTTTTCACCCATTTTTGCACTTTGAATCATTAATAACTTCACCAATTTATAACATATTGTGAATCTTTTGGGAGATATTGTATTTGATATTGTAAGGAATAGATTGGTAGGTCAATTATACAAGTTGCTTGTAATTTTGTTACCACCTATAGATCTGATTCTGCCTTTAACTCTCATCAAAACAGTAATTTAAAACAATTTCATCAAATTAACATAATATATGAATTCACAATATATAATATATGTCAAAATAAACATAAAAAATAATTAAAACCAAATATAATGATAAAATCATAATTTCAAAAAGTGGTCCGAGTTGTCTTGGGTCCGAGTTGTCTTGGGTCCGAGATGTCTTGGGTCCGAGTTGTCCAGGGTCCGAGTTGTCCTGGGTCCGAGTTGTCCGGAAACCATGTAAATGACATGCTATTTACATCTTGTGAGTTTCAATGACGCGCGTTTGATTTTATAAAAAATGCCAAACTTTGTGACAAAGAATTTCATCCTGCTTGCATCGAGAAGACGGACCGGTTCTATTGCTCCGAACCGGTCCGTCTTCTTGTATAATATTCTTTGGTTTTACAAAGTTGTATGATTTTTGATAAGTGTAAAAGTTGTTCTTGAAGCATTTTTCTATGGCCATTTTGTAGGGAAAAAATGATGAAAAAATGTACAATCTTTTAATTTTAAGTATGACCTGAATCGTTAAACTTCATATTTGCACATTTGACATTTTTCATGCCTAAAGTGGCCACGTCGACACCTAAAATTTTCCAAGATGGCGTCGTTAGGGATATGACATTTTCAGCAGTCCCAAATGAATCGACAATGTCTGTTGAGGAACAAGAACAGCCGACCAAACGCGGAAAATCAAATTCTGGGCGTAGTATTCATGACCCTGAGAACATTCCCAATACGGGCAGCCCCTACGCAAGTGCCGAGGAGGATAATATTGACGTTGTCTCAATGTCAGGTATGGAAAAACTTTTCAAAAAATTCGAGCAGAGATTTGAAAATAATCTGGAATCATTTGTCAATAAAGTCCTAGATGAGCGTGTGATTAAACCTTTGATCAAGCTCGAGAATAAATATGACAGCCAGATTGAAAGCCTGATATCAGAAAACGTGAAGCTCAAAAAGGCTCATGAAGACCTGTCTATAAAATTGAACCAAGTTATCTTGCAATCCAATCATAACTCTCAGTACTCTCGCAAGGACTTGATCAGAATACACGGTATTAAGGAAACTGCCGACGAAAAGTCTGATTCCAAGAATCTCCAGCATTGTGTTTCTGCACTCTGCAATGAGCTAAGTTCCACTAAACTTCGTGACTCGCTCACCGCAGCTGATATCGAGATTGCTCACAGGGTACCTGGCAACCCCTCACCTAGCTCTGATAAACCCAGATCCATAATTGTTCGTCTCAAATCCAGGCACGTTAGAGATGCATTGCTCAAAAACCGATCCCTTCTCAAGGGTACCCCAATACGGATATACGAGGACCTTAGCCCAATGAACCGTGCTCTACTGAAACAATTAGAACTGCCCCTCCATAGTCAACCATTGGTCCGATCATGGTAAGATTCTGGGGAAAACTGCGAATGGTGCTATACGTGCTTTCAATGTTGTGGATGACATTGCAGGAATTATTTCTGACATGGAGAAGCTCCCTATAGTTCAATCTCAAATCCACCGTTCCAGACAACAGAGAGTTCCCCCGGCTTCAACTGCCAGCACTAGCTAAACTGTAGCCCCGAAGGTGACAATCTTTAGCATGGAACTCGTATATGCTATGATCACATAACATATTTCAATGAGGAACTACATACAAAAACACTTATAAATTGCTGTCTTTAGGGCTCATTTGATAGACTTTACTTCATTTAGAAACTGTCATTTTTGATGCAAAAATATCAATTCAACTATTTCAAATGTAATTATTTGGAAACTATACGAACAATCACTTTTAGATTATGTGTAAACAGCATTTGTAATTACCTATCTCCGTGCAAAAACCACACCGTCTTTGTTTACATTTTGTATTGCTCATGTAGAGCGAAGTGACGTCACACTTCCGGAACTGTGAAAAAATGAAAATTTCGAAGCAAAGTTTCTCGACTCAGGCGTATTTCCAGTGGTTTGGTTGTTTGCAATGGAGGTGGGTGATATTATACAACTATATTTCACGACTAATCTCAACTTGATCAAGTAGGTCAACATTTGCTGTCTGGAAAAGACGCAAAATACTCATTATTTACTTATTTTTCACAAGTGTTTTTTCAGTTTTCTCATTTCTGACTTAAGTTGTTTCATGTGTTTCACTGAACTATCCCAGTTGTCTAATCTGACCAGGTAGACCCGATACTGTCTTGAAAAGAATCATAAGCTCTGAAAATAAGTTTTATGATACCCAGGTAATATGTACAGTTTGTGACATTGGAAATGCAACTGAAGACA